TATGTTATATTGTACTAGTGCACTGCCCGTAGGAAGTATGTATTGCTATAGAAAGTGGGAGGTTAAGTAGCTTTTTCATGGATGGCCAAATGAGGTTGTGTTTGAAGGTGGGACGTCAGGGACATTTAGGTTTGTTGTGAAATATGTAGATTGATAACTATTGTGTTTTCATGTAATTTGGCTTTTAGCAAGGACACTGTAGGGAGATGAACCCCATTCCACTAATGTGAAAGTACCACAGCTCATGGTCAGCGCATATAAATTCTGAAAGAACAAAGTGAACTACATCTGAAATGGGATGAAACCTGGCAGCATAAACAGACTAACTTGTAGCATAGCCTAACTGGGCCGGACATATTATTTAGCCCTGTAATATAGGCTAGCATACATCAGAGAGAGAGAGAGAGAGAGAGAGAGAGAGAGCAATGGCAGTAAGGGTTTCCACATCAAACAAAAAATTGTTTTGAAACTACCAAACTAGTGTGAACGGATAAAGCGCCCGGTATACTCGCCGCATTCGACCTGTCACGTGACAACGTGACGTCAAAATGACGTAGATCTCGCTGGCGCACCAGGATTTTGGCCCAGTCGTGCACCACTCTTTTTTTTTCAGCTGCGCGCGACAAACGGGAAACAGGAAGATGGACAATCTGTACGATCATTCAATGAAGGAGCACAGAGGTGCCCAGAGTTGCGAGAAATCGTCATGAATGTTGGAAAAGAGGAGGACATATGCTGGAAAATTTGGACCGATTTTGAAAAAAAAAATCCTTTTTCTTCTTCTAGTGCCTAGAAGTAGCAAAGTCGGTAGCCTTTCCTACCTCTGTTCAGGAGAAGACTGCAACTAGTGCCGCGACCACCACATCTAAGTTTATATAGTCACGACGCTCCCGTGACGTCACGTTGTTGCGCGACAGTTGGTCTGCGTCGAGTATACCGGACGCTTAAGCCAACGGCGCGGAGCGAGGGCGTGTCGGTCAGACAGTCTGATAACTGCACAGGTTTCTCACTCAACTTAATAAAGAGAAATGTCCCACAAAGCAACATTACAGGACCAAACAACAGTAGTAACTGTAACTGTCAAGAGGAAAAGAAATACCACAGCTGTATGTGGAGAAGCGTCTGTCCTCCTGTCTGTCCTCCCGCCTGTCCTACCGACTCTTCTTCACATTTCTGAGTGTATGCGATCAAAAATCACTGCGACCGCCAGCCCTCCGGACCGAGACATCAGTTTACTTTCCACCGGAAAACATTCTCTGCATTTACTGCTGGTGATTATGTATAATTATGTAATTTAGAGTGAAAAACTTAACTTTGTCACTTTCCAGGATGTCATAAAAACGTGCGGACCAAAACATGACAATTTCACGTAAATCAGATCAAAATCGCCACGCAGTGCTTACTTCCTGTTGGCAGTATTTGGCGCTCTCACTATATATAAATATTGTCACATAGATGTGTTCAGGGCAGGACTACCCACCTAGAGCCGGGGTCTGTTCAAGGTTTGTGTCTCTGAAAAGGAAGTTTTCAAAGAATGGTGTTTTAATGTTTTATGTTTTTATGTGTTTAAATATGTGTAGTCATTGGTGGGTTTTTCTTTCTATCTGTATGTCTCACCCTGTGTTACTGTTGTTGCTACTGTGGCAAAATCAATTGCCCCACAGAAACAAATAAAGGACTTATACAGGCACTCACTGAGTTAACATAAACTATGTGGTTTAGGAATAATGGCAGACACATGATGAATGTTCCTCTATCTGAGGTGGATAGAAAGAGGAACAACACAGTCAACAGACACGATACAGAGAGACTTTGTCATTTCACTTCGACTTTGTCAATAACACTTCTGTTTTTTTGTTTTGGACAGAAAAATATTTTTTAAAGGCAGATAACACCAGTTTTCATCATTTTATTACGTTTTCCTTTTGGTGTACGAGGAAAACAGCATCCTCCAGGTGAGTTAAGTAGTCCTCTCCAGGGCCTCTGTCTGCTGTATGTTGGTGGGCATCAGAAATGTTTGATATCTGTATATGTTCATTGTACAGAGGTCATATATGATGAGAACTGCCTTTCTGTATGTGTGATATCCTTTAAACTGGAAAGTGTCAGACTTGGATTAGAGGAACACAGGATTGAGTCAGGACACCCTGGGGGGAGGAAGGAACTTCAGCTGTTACACTTGTCAAGTAAGTTGGCTCTGATAAACCACTTTGGAAAGCGAAGGACTTTCCATCAAGTAACGGAGAAAGATAACAACGGAGCATTAGGGACTCTCCATCTGAATAACGCAATGCACAGAGATTATAATAACCAAAAGCTGTATAATGATTGAAGTTGATTCTATATTACAAAATGAAATATGTAACAATGAAAGGAAACATGATTATATGATTGTAACTGATTATTTGATAATTAATGGAAGGAATTATTATTGTCTGCCTCTTTGACTGCATATTTGAAGCATGCTCAAAAAGTCAATTTCAGTCTAAATTCAATCGTTCGAGAACTCGTTGTATGCAATTGTCCCTGTGCACTGACACAGCCAGTGGCTAAGCCCCCCCCCTAGAATCAGCCCCAGCAATGTAGGCCGACATGTACAAAAATCGGTATGCATGTTTATCGTGAAAAAAAAATGGAAAGCTTCTTGGACCCATATCTGACTATGGAAATTATCAGATAAACTTCAAATGTAATCAGCACAATCTAAAGACATTCATGATTAAAAGTTGTGCTATTTACGACATTCTGTTGAACGGCGTGGCGTCCAGTTTCAATGACTCGCCATGAAAGAGGGATTTGTCATAACTTCTGCTACATGATCTGATCTCAACGAAACTTCACGTGTCTGATAAGAGTCCGCCCTGAACACGTCTATGTGATAATATTCAGTAATATTGAGAGCGCCACCTAGTGGTGAAAGGAAATGTAATATTTTTTTCCAGCAGATTGATCTTATCAAGCTGAAATTCTGTCAGAAGTTCCTTAGGATGATGACAGTTTATGAATCTTAAGAACAGTAAAAATCAGCTTTCCTGTTACCTTTTTGGGGGCTAAACATGTCCGAAATCTCAATAAACTTTGCACAAAATTCAGTCATGGCGAGAGCTAAGGTATTGTCTTGCTCCCACGGATGGGCGTGGCATAATGGATTCGCCACGCGCATTGTATTTGAACGAATTCCTCCCAGGGAATTTATCCGACCAACATCAAAACTTGTCAGTACAGTTAAAAAATAATGCTGATTAAAAGTTGCTATTGTGCATGTACATTGAAGCGTGGTGTTGAAGTCGGCCATTTTGAATTTTGCGGCCATTTTCGGCTATGTTTTGGGTAGTATTTGAACAAACTCCTCCAAGAGAATTTAACGGATCAACTTAAAATTTAATCAGCGCAATCTAAAGACAGTCATGATTAAAAGTTGTGCTATTTACGACATTCCGTCGAACGGCGTGCCCGTGGCGTTGCATCGAATATTCAGATATAGTGATAGTGCCACCTACTGGCAACAGGAAGCAAGCGCTGCATGGCGATTTTTATCTGATTTACATGAAATGTTCATGTTGTGGTCCGCACGTGTTACGCCGGTACATGACGTGGCTGCAGCGCACCCCGACATGTGCCGGCTGCGAGGGCCCGTTCATCGCTGCTTTCAGCTTTAAATTAATAATTATTGTCATTAATCTAAATTGTACAACTTGAGAATATTTTGAGAAATGCCCGTTACAATCATCCAGAGCCCACAGTGACACAATGTTGTCTGACCAACAGTTCAAAGCTGAAAATAGTAAAAGTAGTAATACTACACTACAGAAATACTGCATTACAACTTAAAGTCCTGCATTAAAAAAGTTCCTCAGTTACAGAAGTATTATCAGCACAATGTAGTTGAAGCTCCCAGTCTCTCTCTGGAGACACTCACTCAGTCTTATCTCACTTCCCTCCCCCACACCTGACGTTGCCCTGACAACCGTGACGTCACATCCACTTCCTGTCTTCTTCTGTCCATGTGAAGGTTGGTAAGAGACACTTTTCACTGTTTGACTCCTCAATGACTCTTTGTTCATCTTGTTAGTTTAGTTCAGTAGAAAGAGCAGAAAACTCTACTAACAGTCAACTGAGAACCAACATGGAGGAAGAGTTTCCTCCATCTTACTGTCAGTGTGTCACTGTTCAAAGTAATCAGAGTACTCACTGACAGTACTCAGAGTCTTTCAGAGTACTCACTGTATGATTTCTGTCTGTCTTTATGAGCTCACCTTATCAATGTAGTTGAAGTATGTAAAGTGAAAGTAGTCAGTGTACAGAATGGCCTCTGTCAGTGTTGTATTATTATATTAGTGGATGATTATTATTGATGCATTAACATGTAATCAGTACTTTAATGTTGGAGTTGCTGCAGGTGGAGCCAATATGAACTACTTCAAATACTTTTGGCTGCTTGAATGTAAAATAATGAATTCTATTTTATAAACTGATCCCATGTTTGAAAAGTAAGCAGGAAGTAAAGCTGTCAGATAAATGCAGCTCCATGAGGCCATCTAGTGGACTGATAGTAGAAGTAGAGCAGCTGATGGCAGCTTTCTGCTCTCATTCTTCCTCAACACTGACCAATGAGAACAAGCAGCATCTCCTCTGGCCAATAACAAACCACTATTGATCCATGTATTGATTAGTTTGCAATGTGTGACAGTGATGAGAAAAGGCCATCAGTAGTTCCCAGAGTTCACAGTCATGTTTTCTAACTGCTTCTTTAGTCTGAGCAACAGTCCAACAAGCCAAAGGGATTCAACTGACACTGAGATGAAACAGAGAGAAGCAGCCAATCAGTGGAGAAGCAGCTGATAGTTTTACAGGAGAAATGATGTAAATCAGTGGTTCCCAACCTGAGGGTCGGGACCCCCACTAGTGGTCACCAAAGCTTCATGGGGGGGTCTGTAGGTCGGCCTATATCTCAGCATCTGGTTCACTTCTGTGAAGAAAAGTCATGTAGTAAATGTCTAATAGATCAATGACCAAACATCAGGGACAAGAAAACAGTGAATTTGTCCAAAAAGAAGCATATTAAGTATTTATGATTGTTAAAAATGATAAAAGATACATAACACAGACAAACTGTATAAAAAGTTCCCTAAACAGGAAATAATCTGCTCAGAATTCATCAGAATCAACTTCAACTTCTTGCAGTTACTGAGTTCAATATTTGGGTTCATTGTACAGTTTTGGATATAATATGAAATATGTATAAAATATGTCACTCAGTCAGGGGTCGTCAGTTTACTCAGTGATAGAAAAAGGTTGGGAACCACTGATGTAAAGGATGAATGAGTGATGATGAGTTCTCAGTGCTGATCAGTGATTGGACTGATGCTTTCAGCTCTGCTCTCAGTGTTTCCTCTACAGATGAAGGTAGAAAGTCTCTGGGAGCTGATGTGGATGTGAATTCAGCAGCAGCTGCCAAGGTAACAGGATTGATTTTGGATTATTGGACTAGCTGCCACTGCATGCTCTGACTGGATATAGTAGACTTGGAAAAAGAGCAACATTTCAACTGTTGAGGAGCTTTTCAAAGTCAGTCAAATAGAAGTGAAACAGCAACATGAAGTGTATTCCTCTAGTCTTCAACCAACCCCACAGACTAAAGAGCATTGTGAATGTCATTTCTTAGATACTGCAGCTCAAAGTGCCAACAACATTTCTACTCTGCCATGGAAACTGTCAGATGAGTGGATTTAGTATTGAGCTGAATGAGCCGTTTATATCAGCCAGTAGAGTCCTATTGTCCTATTGTGTGTTAGAAATATACAGTCTGCATCTCCAGCATTTACACACTGACAGATGCTAACTTGCATACGTTGGTCAATTAGCATAATTAGCATTAATAATCAGCTATATGGACAATATTTCAGTAATTGTTTGGATGATTTGGAAAATATAGGAGTGTTTTTGGGGGGTTATTGAGGACGATGAATCAATTTCTGACATCTGTGGCAACATTTTATCTCCCAGTGGGCTGATTTTTGAGGATTTTTTAGTTAATTTTGAGATTATTTATTTGCTTAATGCATAACCACAGCTGCAGAGACACAGGTCAATGAGAAAATGCTGCACAGCAAAAGAACACCAGCAGAAATTTGAATAAATATCTGAACAACAATGACAAAGAGCTTCCTAAACTGCAGTTCCAATGTATTATGCAGATAAATAACCTCAAAATCAGTGAACCTGGAGTTCAAATAAAATAAATTAAAGTGCAATTTTGTATTTTGTAAATGTCAGAATTTGATCCATCATCCTCAGCAACTCCCAAAACCACTACTATAGTATCTGTTGAAATATTCTCCATACAGATATACATATATGCTTATTAATGCTAATAATGATAATTGAGTTGGAATCTGTCAGTTTCTAAATGCTGGGGACCCACACTGTACATTTCTGATCATGTTGCTGCGAGTCGACTAATCCCTCCAATCAGAGCTGTGTGTGTTTGTCATGTGACTGAGAGGAATGATGGGAAATAATGTGTGATCTCTCCCAGCAGGTTGCTGTGTCTGTGTGAAGGTGTGGGCTCTGCTATGGATCAGTGTGAGGACAGAGAGGAGGGAGTCCCTCCCTCTAAAAGCACTCTGTGTGGGGAACATGACACAAGGACCAAAGCTCAGAGGTGAGATGAGGATCTCTAACTGTCCATGACTCTTCTCCATGTCACAAAGGCTTTGATTCTCCATTTGAAACAAAGACATTTATCTGAGCAAAAGTACGTAGTTGTCAGTATTCAAACAGGGCTGGACAATCTGATCTCAAATCAGTATCAGGAGAAACATTCAGCTTCATAATGAGAAATGTAACAGTAACATGTGTTTGAATCAATCAGAGCAGATTTCCTTCCTCATGTTGCTCACTGCTGATGTTTGTCCTGATTCATTCCAGTCTGACCAGTTCCACATTCTGCTCTTCTGGACTGGACTGGGAGCTGATTGCTCTCTGGTTAGATGTTGTAGCTGCTCTCACTTTAATTATATGGAATTCAGAGAGTGTGTTGAAGTGTGTGACATCAGTAAATTGTGTTCAGTAACACGTCCATAATGTCAGTAATTGAAGACATTGTTCTTATTGTCCAGCCCTGTATTCAAACATTTCAAATTATACATCATTTCACAAAGTCTTTGATTCAGTGAGAATGTTTCTGAATATGTGAGCTTTAATGAATTTCTTTCTATCAGGATCCATCAGAGACCAGACTGTCCTGAACCTGAACCCAGCTGTGTGTCCATGAAGAGTGATGACTCTATGGGTCGTTATGAAGACTTCAAAGATGGCCGCCACTCTGTTGATCAAAGGTGAGGATTTCAAACTGATGGTGAAAATAAAATGACGTGTTTGTATCAGACTCTCAGTTGTGAAATTTCTGTTTTTAAATGTTTTAAAATGTCTTTTAATGGACGGTGATGGTTTGTGTCTGATCAGCTCAATTTACAACAGCCTCAGTTTCACAGTGAACAAATAGTTGCAGCAGTTTATAGAAACTCACTGCTTTGACACCACGTCTGTTCCTCTTTTTATCCTAATTGGACCGATATGGTCACTCCACTCCATCATTTCCCCGCCTATACTGCACACTGCACTGAATACAGCTTTAAAATACACAGTGAAACATGTCTAAATCAAACACTGACTTTATAGAAATCCTAACCAAGAACTCCCTGGGTACAAATACACTGTGTACAGTCGGTGTATTCAGTCACTGGCAGGTTCTGTCTCAGTGTGTTGTGGGTGCAGTGCAGAACTGATCCTGTTTTTCTATCAGGAGGAAAAAACCTGAACCCAGCTGTGTGTCCATGAAGAGTGACCGCTCTATGGATCATCTTATACACTTCAAAGATGGCCGCCACTCTGTTGATCAAAGGTGAGGATTTCAAACTGATGTTAAAATAAAATGATGTGTTTTTATCAGACTCTCAGTTGTGAAATCTCCAGTTTTTCAACCTTTACTGACTCAGATGAAGTTCTCTGAGCACCAACACTCTTTCAGCAGCAGCTGCCTCACACTCACACAGTCAAACACATTCACACTGGGAGCTGCCCAGTACAACCAGTCTGATACAAGCAGACACTGAGCAGCTCCACTGGAGCAGCTGGAGGCTCTAGGTGCCTTGCTCCAGGGCACTTCAGCAGTGTACAGTGAGGGAGGGAGAGCTATATGGAGGGGTTGGTGAGAGCTGTTGGGACTGAACCAAACTGAGCTGTTGATTCTCAGTGGGATCAGCAGGACTAGTAAACCTTTACCACTACAGGGAGTCATCAGATTCACTGTTCACATCCAAATATCACTTCATGGACCTTTACCTTGTGTTTGTCTCTGTGTGGACAGACATAATGTGAGCTCATTCTTCATGATTCCTCCACAGAGTGGACCAGGAGAGCTCAGAGGTTCCCAGTGGTCAGTCTGCCCAGCAGCATCAAACACATCTGGACTCCATATTTATGGTCTGTACATGGACAACAACTACTTTTACATCTATTGTGTTCACAATAATCTCCATGCTGCACCTTTTAGATCAGTGGATTGTCAGTCTGTCCAACATGGATCTGATGTTTGCTTCCATGATTTGACTTGACAGTGGCAAGATGGCGCCAGTGTGTGAGGCGGGCCGTCAGCTGCTCCAATTGTTGTGTGTGTTTCTGTTGCTTGTAATACTTGTTGCACATAACGTCAACACTCTGCGGGTGTATGATCGCCAAACGCTGCTCGATCTGAGAATCTCCGCCAAAAATCTTGTCAACTTTGATTATTATGGACAAAAAACTCTGCCTCCTTTCCTATCGGACTTCCCGACATACCTCTGCCGCGCTCCAGCGCCACCCCCACGGCAAAAACGGCACCGCCGCTGGGGTAAGCATAGTGGCTGTCTGGTGAGGCTGAGGGCCGGGTTGGTACGTCCTGATCAAGGTGGATATGGAGAGGGGCCTTGCCTTTGTATCTCTCGACGTTCGCTGGACCCTGTTGCTGCCTGGTTGGTACCGGTGGCGGGCTCGGATGTGATGTTCCAGCCCCGCGGACCCTGCTCTCCCCGTCTCCGCTGGCGCGGAGTAAATCTGGGGAACCTGCGGCCTCTGTGTCGGGCCTCCCTGTCAGCTGTTCGCCCTGACCCGCCAGCTCTTGCCAGGTTTGGCCTGGTAACAAGAGATCGCTTGTGAATAAATCATTTATCCTTAAGGATTTCTTCACATCCCGGGAACTGGATTTCCTCTTTATCTCCGAGACCTCACTGAGTGTTGGTGAGTCCAGTGTCTTCACCGAACTTCTACCTGATGAGTGCTGCTTTTTGAACTCTCCTCGGACGTCTGGCTGAGGAGGAGGAATTGCGACTGTTTTTAAGAGAGACTTTAAATGTAAACAGTTATCGCTGTCCTCCTCCTTCACCAGCTTTGAACTCAGTCTGTTTGAGCTGGGGCATTCTCACACGGTGCTGTGTGCTGTGGTCTACCGGCCTCCCAAATATAACAGAGACTTTTTAACAGACTTCTGTGTTCTTGGCTGATATTATGCCCAAATATGACCGGGTCTTTTGTTGGAGATTGTAATATTCTTGTGTGTTGCCCTGAAAACCCTTTAGCGCGAGACTTTTTAAACATCATTGACTCTTTTAATCTCGTGACAGGATTGTCGAAGAGCTGAGCGAAAGTGGAAAAAGGACAAATTGCAAATATCTTTTAAATTACTGAGGAATTGTTGCCGTCATTACCTGATATTGTTCTTTTAAACTGTCGTAAGCCTCGTGTGTTGTTTAAAGTTATCAACTCTGCTCTGAATGCACCACAGACTGGAATTGAGGCCTCCCCTGCTGTGTGTGAGAACTTTCTTCACTATGGGTTGGGTCTTGGTCAGAATGAGTTCTCTTTTTGATCAGAAGATTGTGTCCAACATACGATTTTCTAAGTCCAAATTAGGTCTAAAAGTTATTCTCCTTTAGGTGGAAAAATAACAACCAGGATTCATCGAAGTTGGCAGTGGATTAGAGCTTTATTATCTTAACAGACAAACAAAGCCTGAGCCATCCATGGAAAGACTGAATTCATCCTCACAAAGCTTCTCCTTATATACTCTTGCCTCCTGTCACAAGTCCTGCCCACCTTCTACCTTTTCCATCCACTACATAATGGTGTAAATTCTACTCTGGAAAGACCCTAAATCTTCACCAGTATGTGGGTCCCAATTATTTTGCCCTTGTTTTGCCCATGCCTACACCAGTAGGCCATGACATTTTCTTTTGCTCTCCTTTCATCTGGATTACACCATTAGAATCTAGTTTACTGTACTTCTATTTTTTAAAAACCATTTATTACCTTTTCCTTACACCATTATGTCACAGATGTCTTTTACTGTATTTTTAAAAAACTTTATAAACTTTATAATATGATAAGAAAAGTTGTGTTACAACCACCCACATACATTTGGTATAATCAGTGCTCATTTCTTTGCTACAACTACACATTCTATATGTTCCACACATTAAATCAAACTTTTACTAAAAAACCATGGTGCTTACTACTTCATCAACAGTATTTGTGCTTATCATGAAATCTTATAAACCTAAAACATAATGCCTTCATTAACATCCTTGTGAGCTTATATAAATCTATTCTTCTTAACACTCAAAATCATCATTACTTAAAACATAGTGCCCTTTACTTGATTTCCAGTTATCTGTGTGAACAAACCATAGTGCTTACAACATAATATCCAAACTTTTGTGTGATTAATTGATTACTAACTTATAATATGCACTAACCTACACTAAATTTTATACTACAACTACTTCATTGATAAAGTCACTTCTACCAGAGCACTTATTTCACCTCCTGCTGCTGATCCTTCAGTGTTTCACTGAATTGTAATCTGCCTAACATTGTTTCACTGCTATGCGGATGACATAGTCTTTGGTGGCACTTCTGTGACAATATCGCAAACCAATTGTAAAAAATCTTGGGGTAAAAGTTGACTCAGACCTTAAATTTGACAGCCAGATTATAGCTGTAGTGAAATCTAGCTTTTTCCAGTTAAGGCAGCTGGCAAAGATCAAACCAGTCCTTCAGAGACAGCACTTTGAGACAGTATCAGAATCAGAAATACTTTAATAATCCCAGGGGGAAATTATTTTCGTTACAACACTCCAGATATACAAACAACATATTATACAAACAACATATATAATATATATATATATATATATATATATATATATATATATGTACACACAACATTCAGCACAAAAAATATAAATATATATATATAATATATATATATATAACTATATATAATCGTCTGGATTACTGTAATGCACTTTATATGGGGGTTAGTGGGTCCTCCATTGCTCGTCTTAAACTGGTACAAAATGCTGCTGCACGTCTTTTAACTGGCACACGCAAGTATGAGCACATTTCAACTATTTTAGCTTCACCCCACTGGCTGCCCATCCATCTTAGGATTCATTTTAAAATTCTTTTATTTGCTTTTAAAGCCTTGAATGGCCTTGCCCCACCTTACCTCTCTGAGCTGCTGCACCCCTACACTCCCAGGCCGATCTCTCAGGTCAGCTGACCAGCTGCTCCTGACAGTGCCTAAAGCTAGGCTTAAGCTCAGAGGGGATCGAGCATTTGCCGTTGCAGTTCCAAAACTTTGGAATGGATTGCCGCTGCACATTACACAGGCCTCCCCTCTGTCTCATTTTAAAACTCTTCTTAAAACCCACCTTTTTTCTTTGGCCTTTGACACCATGTAGAGCGTTGATTTTATGTGTATACATGGATATTTTTATCTTGTGCGGGCATTTCATTTATTTGATTTATTTTACTTATTTTATTCTATTTTATTTTTATTTTATTGCTTTTATCTTTTACTGTGTACTTTTTTAATTGTGCTTCTATTGTGTTATCTATTTATTCTGTATATCTTTTTGTGCAGCACTTTGGAAACCTTCTGTTTGTTAAAATCGTGCTATATAAATAAAGTGGATTGGATTGGATTGACTTTGATTGAGTCATTCATATAATATTCTGTTCCAGCTGCTGGAGGACAACATTGTCACTTTTGTGAAGAACCAGCTGAAGAAGATCCAGAAGGTTTTGAGTTCAGATTACCCAGAATGCTCAGAGAGTCAGAGGGAGGATGAGGAGGTGTTGGATGGTGAGGATGAAGAGCAGAGGAGGAGCAGCAGAGAGGCATTACTGAAGATCACAGTGCACTTCCTGAGGAGAATGAAGCAGGAGGAGCTGGCTGACTGTCTACAGAGCAGTAAGATGATTTTAACAGATTGAACATGATGGAAAGAGGAAATGGAGGCAACATGGGAAGGTTTACTTTTAAAACTCCGCCAAAATGGGTCACAACTCACAAATTAAAATGCATAACAATGCCATAATAATTCATTGTATTAAAAATATCAAAAATAATTATATTTTATCTAAATATAAAAAAAGAGACCACTCCTTTTCTTCTGGCTGATGTGTTGCTAACTTCTGTTTCAATAGTTTATAAACGTAAATGTTATGGCAATTTGTGATGTATTTTTTTAAAGGAAGGTTTCACACCGCCACCTGCCTGCACCAGGGTTCACAGAAAACGTGCATTAAATAGCGGCTGCCGCCAGGTGTGTACCACCAGCAGTTTAACACAGTGAAATGCGTCAGAGCAAAATCTGTGTGCTTGGATGTGGGCAACAACTACTTCCCCTCATTGAAATAACTGGTGGCAATAAATTAGACCCATAACTTTTGGTTCGAAACAAAATAGATATTTTCTATCTGAGCTGAAAATTTTTCTGCTTTAGGGGAATGAAATTATCATATTTTGTTTATCAATCACTTAATGATCATATTTTCTGTCTTCATTAAGAACATCTTGTTGGAGTTTGTCAGTGTGAACTTAAATCTAACCTGAAGAAGAAGTTCCAGTGTGTGTTTGAGGGGATTGCTAAAGCAGGAAACCCAACCCTTCTGAACCAGATCTACACAGAGCTCTACATCACAGAGGGAGGAACTGCAGAGGTCAATGATGAACATGAGGTCAGACAGATTGAAACAGCATCCAGGAAACCAGACAGACCAGAAACAACAATCAGACAAGAAGACATCTTTAAACCCTCACCTGGAAGAGATGAACCAATCAGAACAGTGATGACAAAGGGAGTGGCTGGCATTGGGAAAACAGTCTTAACACAGAAGTTCACTCTGGACTGGGCTGAAGACAAAGCCAACCAGGACATACAGTTCACATTTCCATTCACTTTCAGAGAGCTGAATGTGCTGAAAGAGAAAAAGTTCAGTTTGGTGGAACTTGTTCATCACTTCTTCACTGAAACCAAAGAAGCAGGAATCTGCAGGTTTGAAGAGTTCCAGGTTGTGTTCATCTTTGACGGTCTGGATGAGTGTCGACTTCCTCTGGACTTCCACAACTCTAAGATCCTGACTGATGTTACAGAGTCCACCACAGTGGATGTGCTGCTGACAAACCTCATCAGAGGGAACCTGCTTCCCTCTGCTCGCCTCTGGATAACCTCACGACCAGCAGCAGCCAATCAGATCCCTCCTGAGTGTGTTGACATTGTGACAGAGGTCAGAGGGTTCACTGACCCACAGAAGGACGACTACTTCAGGAAGAGGTTCAGAGATCAGGAGCAGGCCAGTAGAATCCTCTCCCACATCAAGACATCACGAAGCGTCCACATCATGTGCCACATCCCAGTCTTCTGCTGGATCACTGCTACAGTTCTGGAGGATGTGTTGAAGACCAGAGAGGGAGGAGATCTGCCCAAGACCCTGACTGAGATGTACATCCACTTCTTGGTGGTTCAGTCCAAAGTGAAGACCATCAAGTATGATGGAGGAGCTGAGACAGATCCACACTGGAGTCCAGAGAGCAGAAAGATGATTATGTCTCTGGGAAAACTGGCTTTTGAGCAGCTGCAGAAAGGCAACCTGATCTTCTATGAATCAGACCTGACAGAGTGTGGCATTGATATCAGAGCAGCCTCAGTGTACTCAGGAGTGTTCACACAGATCTTTAAAGAGGAGAGTGGACTGTACCAGGACAAGTTCTTCTGCTTCGTCCATCTGAGTGTTCAGGAGTTTCTGGCTGCTCTTCATGTCCATCTGACATTCATCAGCTATGGAGTCAATCTGCTGGCAGAAGAACAAACAACATCCTGGTGGTCTAAATTAATTAACGACAAAGGGAATCTAAAATATCTCCACCAGAGTGCTGTGGACAAGGCCTTAGAGAGTCAACGAGGACACCTGGACTTATTCCTCCGCTTCCTCCTCGGTCTTTCACTGGCGACCAATCAGAATCTCCTACGAGGTCTGCTGACACAGACAGGAAGTAGCTCACAGACCAATCAGGAAACAGTTCAGTACATGAAGAAGAAGATCGAAGAGACTCCCTCTGCAGGGAGAAGCATCAATCTGTTCCACTGTCTGAATGAACTGAATGATCGTTCTCTAGTGGAGCAGATCCAACAGTCCCTGAGTTCGGGACGTCTCTCCACAGATAAACTGTCTCCTGCTCAGTGGTCAGCTCTGGTCTTCATCTTACTGTCATCAGAAAAAGATCTGGACGTGTTTGACCTGAAGAAATACTCTGCTTCAGAGGAGGCTCTTCTGAGGCTGCTGCCAGTGGTCAAAGCCTCCAACAAAGCTCTGTAAGTACAGAAATAGTTGGATTTCTGTATTATCACTTAAATACTCTGCTATCTTTTCGACTTAGAGAGATTATAAAGACATTATATATCACCAACATTGGGAACTCCTCACTAGCTGATATCATTTTTACAGAACTAATTTAAAGTGTTTTTGGTTTTGGCTGAGTGATAAAGTGCTGGTCACAAATATTATTTTTCTTCATGTTGATCATTGTCTCTACAGACTGAGTGGCTGTAACCTCTCAGACCGAAGCTGTGAAGCTCTGTCTTCAGCTCTGAGCTCCAACCCCTCCCATCTGAGAGAGTTGGACCTGAGTAACAACAACCTGCAGGATTCAGGACTGAAGCTGCTTTCTGTTGGACTGAAGAGTCCACACTGTAAACTGGAAACTCTCAGGTCAGGATTCATCAACCTGTTCAACTGATAACCATTTTAAACCTGAATTATGTTGATGGATACAATTGTAATCTTCCTAACATTGTTTTGTTTATTTAGTTTGAGTCTCTTTCCTTGAACATGTTTATTATGTAATGTGTTGTTTTGTGTGTTTGCAGGCTGTCAGGCTGTCTGATCACAGAGGAAGGTTTTGCTTCTCTGGTCTCAGCTCTGAGCTCCAACCCCTCAAATCTGAGAGAGCTGGACCCGAGTAACAACAACCTGCAGGATTCAGGACTGAAGCTGCTTTCTGTTGGACTGAAGAGTCCACACTGTAAACTGGAAATTCTCAGGTCAGGATTCGTCAACCTGCTCAACTGATAACCATTTTAAACCCTGAATTATGTTGATGGATACAATTGTAATCTTCCTAACATTGTTTTGTTTATTTAGTTTGAGTCTCTTTCCTTGAACATGTTTATTATGTAATGTGTTTGTAGCACCCCAAAACTCAGTAAATGCTTAAGTTAAATCAACTCACCCTGGACTTGAATGATGGGGTGTTTGGGTTCGATTTATTAAGGTAGCTACCATGAAGGTTTACCTGTTTTGTGTGAAACTTTTTATGGCCTAATACTTTATGAATAACCAACAACTTTGTTAGACTAAGCAGTGGCTCTATTCACACGTACTCTACACTATTTTAAATAACTGACCCCAGGCAACTCTTTCAAATAAATGAAATAATTGTAAACTAACCAGTTGTTTTCCAGTTTAACACAAATAATATTTACTTTGTTAGTTAACAGATATTAAAAATGAAATAACACAATTACTCAAATTGGACTTCTTTAAAATAAAAATATTATAATTGTAAACAAAATACGCTTTACCAAAATTGGCAAAACACTGTAGAAAAATAGACCCTTATAATAAGCAAAATAGAAATTGGCAATATCAAAATACTATTCAAAATTCAAATAATTCCAGGTCTCCGGTAAAATTTCCTAGTTCTTCTTAATACGATTTCTCTATACTTATCAAACTCAGATCAAATATGCTATTGAACTGAACTCTAAACAAAACAGTGGGCACACACACACACTCTCTCACACAGGCACACACGCACACACACACACACACACACACACACAAAACAGCTGTTTTGCTCGGTACACGCGTCAGGCAAATCCTTATCCTCAGTGACAATTAACAGTCACAAAGAAAATCCAACTCACGGTCTGGAATAAGTCCTGGAGAAACAGTTAATGAAGAGATGGAGATGAAAGCCAACGGCAGCAAAAGTAAAGTCCTCCTCAGGAAGCGTGAAACAGTCCTTCCCGTTCAGCAATGGCGTCCTCTTGGCTCGATTCTCCCGCCCCCTTTTTTGTTTACTCCCTTACCTATGGCCAATTACCAACAGGTGACATTGAGTGATAACTACAGCAACCAATCAAATGAAACAGCATGAACCAATGACACAAATCTGAAAATTCATGTTTAGTTTACCACACACTTTTCTTCAGCTACTATACAGAACAGTTGCAACTATTTTTCCAATAATTTTTGTCATTTTCTGATGTCTTTGTGTGACGTGTTACGGTAAGCGTACTGACTCATTTCCGGTTCACTTCCTGCTCTGTGTACACTGTTTGGTGCTGTAGCTCTGTCAGTGAACGCTAAATATACATTAGTTTTACTCGTTACAGCGGTTATTGTCCCGCTTAACATTTAAATGTAGACTAGTTCTACCTAAACACTCAGAGTTTCTCCTTCTTTTAGCGACTTTTCACTACTTTCAAAGTTTTTCATACACGCTGGGTGACTGAGCGAAGGAAGACTAAAACCGCGAAGCCCACAGTTCACCACCAACCCATTCACGTTTCTAATACATTTTCCCCACTCAGCGATACACCCGCTGAGGAACCAACTCTGATTATTGGCAGCTCCATAGTCAGAAACGTGAAGTTAGCGAAGCCAGCGGCCATAGTTAAATGTATCCCTGGGGCCAGAGCGGGCGACATTGAATCAAATTTAAAACTGCTGGCTAAAGGTAAACGTAAATACAGTAAGATTGTTATCCACGTCGGCGGTAATGACACCCGTTTACGCCAATCGGAGGTCACTAAGATTAATGTGGAGTCGGTGTGTAATTATGATAAAACAATGTCGGACTCCGTAGTTTTCTCTGGACCCCTGCCCAATGTGACCAGTGATGACATGTATAGCCGCATGTCGTCATTCCACCGCTGGCTGTCGAGGTGGTGACCAGAAAACGATGTGAGCCTCATTGATAACTTGAAGCCTTTTTGGGGAAAACCTGGTCTGATTAGAAGGAGACTGCATCCATCCCACTTTGGACGGAGCGGCTCTCTTATCTAGGAATATGAAGAAGTTTACCTCTAAAACCTGACAGTCCAGAGTTGGGACCAGGAAGCAGAGCTGCTGTCTTACACACTTCTCTGCTCTTTCTTTAGAACAGTCACCCACCCAAAAACCCATAGAGACTGTGTCTGTCCCCCGACCACCTAAATTATTTAAAGAAATAAAAACAAGAGGAGTTCAACATAAAAATCTAATAAAATTTAAAACTAACTCCCCAATAGCACAAAATAAGAGAATGAAATGTGGGCTGTTAAATATCAGGTCTCTGTCCTCTAAAGCTGTTTTAGTAAATTAATTAATATCAGATTATGATATTGATTTACTTTGTCTTACTGAGACCTGGTTGTCCCACGAGGAGTATGTTAGCCTAAATGAATCCACCCCCCCAGTCATATTAATACTCACATTCCTCGAGGCACAGGCCGAGGAGGTGGGGTGGCAGCCATATATGATTCGAGCGTTTTAATGGACCCTAAACCTAAACTAAATTATAATTCATTTGAAAGCCTTGTTCTTAGTCTTTCTCACCCAAACTGGAAAACACTGCAGCCAGTTCTATTTGTTATAGTGTACCGCGCTCCTGGTCCGTACTCTGATTTTATATCTGAATTCTCAGAGTTTCTATCAAGTTTAGTCCTTAAATCAGATAAAGTAATTATTGTAGGTGATTTTAATATTCATGTGGATGTTGACAATGACAGCCTTAGTAATGCATTTATATCATTAATAGACTCAATTGGCTTCTGTCAGAGTGTAAATAAACCAACTCATTGTTTTAATCACACTCTTGACCTTGTTTTATCATATGGCATTGATATTGAACATTTCCCACATAATCCTTTTTTATCTGACCATTATTTAATAACTTTTGAATTCATGTTGTTAGGTTATAAGCCATTAGGCAAAACTTCCTACAGCAGATGTCTATCTGACAGTGCTGTAGCAAAATTTAAGGAGGAGATTCCTTCAGTGTTCAATTCAATGCCATGTCTGAATTTAACAGAATCCTATAACGACTTTAGTCCCTCTGAAATTGATAATCTTGTCGATAGTGCTACAGGCTCACTACGATCAACATTAGACTCTATCGCTCCTATAAAAAGGAAATTATTAAAACATAGGAGACTAGCACCGTGGTACAACCACCAAACCCGCCAGTTAAAACAAATAGCTAGGAAATCTGAAAGGAAATGGTGCTCTTCCAAATTATCAGAATATCGCTCAAACTGGCAAGATAATCTTAAAACTTACAGAAAGGCCCTCCGTAATGCCAGAGGAGCCTATTACTCAGCACTAATAGAAGAAAATAAGAATAACCCTAGGTTCCTCTTCAGCACTGTAGCCAGGCTGACAGAGAGTCACAGCTCTGTTGAGCCACATATCCCCATAAACTTAAGTAGCAATGACTTCATGAGCTTCTTCTATAATAAAATTATTACTATTAGAGAGAAAATTAATCACCAACTGCCATCAACAGTTATCAGTGGCTCTCCAAGTTCAGGGACTTCTGTCAATGGAAACTTAGATATATATTTAGACTGTTTTTCTGCTATCGACCTTCATCAGTTAACTTCAATCATTTCTTCATCGAAGCCATCAACCTGTCTATTAGACCCGATCCCAACTAGGCTGCTTAAAGAAGTTGTTCCCTTAATTGGCACTTCTTTACTGGATATGATTAATCTTTCTTTATTATCAGGATATGTACCACAGTCCTTTAAAGTAGCTGTAATTAAACCCCTTCTTAAAAAAGCCCACTCTTGACCCAGGGGTTTTAGCCAACTATAGACCGATTTCTAACCTCCCCTTCCTCTCTAAGATTCTGTAGAAAGTAGTCACCAAAGAGTTGTGTGACTTTCTACATAACAATAGTTTATTTGAGGATTTTCAGTCAGGATTTAGAGTTCATCATAGCACAGAGACAGCTCTGGTTAAAGTTAATAATGACCTTCTGACTGCTTCTGACAATGGACTTGTCTCTGTACTTGTATTATTAGATCTTAGTGCTCCATTTGACACCATTGACCATAATATTCTTTTGGGGAGACTTGAGCATCAAATTTGCATTAAAGGAACCACACTAAGCTGGTTTAAGTCATATTTATCAGATCGCTCGCAGTTTGTACACGTTAACGATGAATCTTCAATAAATACAACAGTTAGTCATGGAGTTCCACAAGGTTCTGTACTTGGACCAATACTATTTACTTTAAATATGCTCCCCTTAGGCAACATTATTAGGAATCACTCCATTAACTTTCACTGTTATGCAGATGATACGCAATTATATCTATCAATCTAGCCCGATGAAATTAATCAATTATCTAAATTACAAACATGTCTTAAGGACATAAAATCCTGGATGACCTGTAATTTTCTGATGTTAAACTCAGAAAAAAACGAAATTCTTGTTCTTGGCCCCAAAAACCTTAGAGACTCACTGTCTAAAGATATAGTTACTCTAGATGGCATTAACTTGGCCTCTAGCACCACTGTCAGGAATCTTGGAGTTATCTTTGATCAGGATTTGTCATTTAACTCCCACATAAAGCAGACCTCTAGGACTGCCTTCTTTCATTTACGTAATATTAGGAAAATTAGACACATACTATCACAGACAGATGCAGAAAAACTAATCCATGCATTTGTTACTTCAAGGCTGGATTACTGCAACTCTTTATTATCAGGTTGCCCCAATAAGTCCATTAAAACACTCCAATTAATTCAGAACGCTGCAGCACGAGTACTGACAGGAACTAGAAAAAGAGATCACATCTCTCCTGTACTAGCTTCTCTGCATTGGCTCCCTGTAAAATGTAGAATAGAATTTAAAATCCTCCTCCTCACCTATAAAGCTCTTCATGGTCAGGCCCCTTCATATCTTAAAGAGCTCATAGTACCCTATTACCCCACTAGAACACTACGTTCTCTGAATGCTGGGCTACTTGTGGTTCCTATAGTCTCTAAAAGTAGAACAGGAGCCAGAGCCTTCAGTTACCAAGCTCCTCTCCTGTGGAACCAGCTTCCATTTGTGGTTCGGGAGACAGACACCCTCACCACATTCAAGAGTAGGCTTAAGACGTTCCTCTTTGATAAAGCTTATAGTTAGGGCTGGATCAGGTGAGTCCTGAACCATCCCTTAGTTATGCTGCTATAGGCCTAGACTATCGGGGGATTTCCCATGGTGCCCTGAGCTCCTCTCTTCCTCTCTCTTTCTGCACTCATTCATGTCCCATTAATGCATGTTACTAACTTCACTTCTTCCCCGGAGTTCTTGTGCTTTCTTGTCTCGCAGGTTCTTGTCGATCCTGGTGGAGCCTCCTGCCATGGTCCTGCTAGATTGCCATTGCCAATGCTGTTGTTGCTGTGCACCTGTCTGTCTGTCTGTCTGTCTCTCTCTCTCTCTCTCTCTCTCTCTCTCTCACCCCAACTGGTCGAGACAGACGACCACCCACCTAGAACCGGAGGATCTGTCCTAGGTTTCTGCCTTTTAACAGGCAGTTTTTCCTTGCCCTTGTCGCCAAGTGCTTGCTCATGGTGGTACTGTTGGGTCTCTGTAATTAATGTTTTAAAGAGTTCGGTCTAGACCTGCTCTATTTGAAAAGTGTCCTGAGATAACTTCTGTTATGAATTGGCGCTATACAAATAAAATTGAATTGAATTGAACAGTTGAATGTAACTACTTAATTTACTATTTACACTCTACTTTATTTATTATGAATTTATGTTAATCTATCGGTTAACATTTCATCTTTCACTGCTTTTAACCTAAATTACTTTCAGTTTATTTGCATTGCTGAATTATTTAATTAATTCACTGAAATAATTATTTGTATTACAAATTAACTTGTTTTAACCCCTGTACTTTTACACCGGACTACATGTTGTTTTGTGTGTTTGCAGGCTGTCAGGCTGTCTGATCGCAGAGGAAGGTTGTGCTTCTCTGGTCTCAGCTCTGAGCTCCAACCCCTCCCATTTGAGAGAGCTGGACCTGAGCTACAATCATCCAGGAGACTCAGCAACAAAGCTGTCTGCTGCACTGGAGGATCCACGCTGGAGACTGGACACTCTCAGGTATGAGGCAGATCAATACAGTATTAGTAGTCAGGTGACGGGAAATTTTTTTTCTGGACCGATGTCTTGTTTCAATATTGGAAAATAGGACAGTGATTTATCCTGATGGGTTGGTGAGCATCATGGCGGGTTGATATTTGTCAATGTTGTCACGCTGCAGGTTTGTGGGCTAATATCATAAATAGTTTGGGATATTTTGATGGATGCCATCTGCCATCAGCGTGTGTTATCTTTTAGTCCAGAAAAACTAAAGGCGTCACCTAAACTACAATTCAGTTCAGTTCAGTTCAGTTTTATTTGTATGTCACCAATTCATAACAGAAGTTATCTCAGGACTGTTTTCAAATAGAGCAGGTCTAGACCGAACTCCTTATAACATTTACAGAGACCCAACAGTTCCCACCATGAGCAAGACCTTGGAGACAGCAGCAAGGAAAAACTTCCTTTTCCACCCTGACAGAGAGAGAGAGAGACAGACAGACAGAAAGAGACAGACAAGAGAGAGAGACAGACTAGAAATGACTAGAATGATGATGATGAACATGAAGAAGATAATGACAACGACAACAACGATGGACAATAACAATAGTAACTATAATAATGATTATAATAATAATATCAGTAATTTTGAGGTTCCACCAGGATCGATGAGAACCTGCGAGACGAGAAAGCACAAGAACTCCGGGGAAGAAGTGAAGTTAGTAACATGCATTAATGGAATATGAATGAGTGCAGAAGGAGAGAGAGAGAGGAAGAGAGGAGCTCAGTGCATCATGGGAAATCCCCCCGGTAGTCTAGGCCTATAGCAGCATAACTAAGGGATGGTTCAGGACTCACCTGATCCAGCCCTAACTATAAGCTTTATCAAAGAGGAACGTCTTAAGCCTACTCTTAAATGTGGAGAGGGTGTCTGCCTCCAGAACCACAACTGGAAGCTGGTTCCACAGGAGAGGAGCTTGGTAACTGAAGGCTCTGGCTCCTGTTCTACTTTTAGAGACTACAGGAACCACAAGTAGCCCAGCATTCAGAGAACGTGTGTCTAGAGGGTAATAGGGTACTATGAGCTCTTTAAGATATGAAGGGGCCTGACCATGAAGAGCTTTTATAGGTGAGGAGGAGGATTTTAAATTCTATTCTAAATTACTACTGATGTCAGATCAGTTGTGTTTAATGCAGGGAAATGTATATTTGCCATGTTTTTTAGAAGATATTGAATTTTCCTGTGTTCTGAGCAGTCCTTGAACACCTCCTGCCGTATGTTTTGTTGTTTATTAGAATATTCAGGTGTCAACCTGTCATTGTCCAATCAGGGTCTATTAGAGATGAGTATGAGGAAACCTACCAGATTCTGGGAGAGAGAGAGAGAGAGAGAGAGAGAGACGCTGTGCTGTTCATGAGTTTCTTAAGTGTTGTTAAAGTTACTTTATTTCTTTAATTCAAACGCTGACGGTTTTTATGAGTCTGAACTCTGCTGAGAGGATGAAGAAGACACCCCTGTTGTATTCAGAGGAAAACTCCGCCTAAGAAAGCTGCTGAGTTGTCACATCTTAACAGTGAGGGACCAAAGGATCTAGTCTGTATGGATTCTCTGTCAATCGAGCCTGACTCCAGAAACATCTGCAATGTGCTTGTAGTTACAGATCACTACACCCGATATGCTCAAGCTTTTGCAACTAAGGATCAAAAAGCATCAACAGTTGATAAGGTTCTGTGGGAACAGTACTTTGTCCACTATGGTCTACCAAAAAGAGTGCATTCAGATCAAGGCAGGGATTTCGAGAGTCGGCTCATTCATGAACTGTTGAGCATGCTTGGCATCAAGATATCCAGAACTAAACTGTACCACTGGCCCCTGACCCTGGTGACAAGATGGAGTCAGAATATGACTCGGAAGAGGATGAAATGGGTGTGTGGTATGATTATCATCCACCACAAGAGTCCAGAGAACCAGCATGTCAAGAAAATGATCCTGAACCTTTCAGTCTGGATCTGAATTTAGCTGTCCTTGAAAATGACTCAAAAGTGCAAGAGGACATCACTGAAGCACCTGCAGCAGCCACTGAGGATGAACCCTCAGTACAACATAAGACTGCTGAAAGTGAGAGAGACACTGAGACACAGACAACAGATGAAACCTCTGAGAGACAAGACAGTGTTACAGAGAGTTTAGACGAGACAACACAACCTCAGAGACTAAAAAGGGTCCCCACCAGACTGACCTATGATTTGCTAGGGAGCCCAACGTCAGTAGCAGTTAGCACCCATACTGCCACCCTAGCTAAGGTCGATGATAAGAAAGATGATTTATTCCTATCTTCTATTAAGAGATATAAGAGCACTTTTTACCAGTGGATAGGTTAAAGGTAGGGATGCTCGATATTGGCTTTTCTGCCGATATCCGATATTCCGATATTGTCCAACTCTCAATCTCCGATACCAATATCACCCGATACCGATATATGCAGGCTTTTACACCAAAACTGTTAGATAACAACATAACATATCTCCTATTGTGGAATTAACACATTATGCCTCATTTTATTGTGATGGCCCACTGGTAGGGTGGCCATTTCCTTCACATCAAACAGGAGGACACTTTGCATACACGGGGACACGCAAGCAGATATTTGTTTGGTATGATCCAGTTTTAAATGTTAATGTTTTTCCACCAGATTACATAAAGGTGCATACACATACCACATAGCTAATAATAAATATACAAGATACAGCTCATGACAACGTGCCCTTCCAATTCAGATTACATAGGTCTAATAAACATCATACAGAAACTGTTCTTAATGTTTTTATCTGGATAGATAAAGGGTAAAAAAATACAGCACCTTCTGTTTCAGATGTATAGACTTTACCTATCTACATATGAGTATGAGCATTTTCTGAATTTCAGTCCAACAACCGACGTTAACTCACATTACTTCTCTGTCACTGAGAGTTTGATTGACAGCCTGGTGGGTGTGGAATCAACACATGGCTCATTTGAATATTAAAATTAAGCGCTAGCTTTGTTTAATGTGTTTAATTGTATTATGCTCCTGAAGGAGTGCTAATGTAAACTCTAAGCCAATTGTTAGTTTGGTTAAGGAACAGCTCAGAGCAGGGTCAAATATTTAAGGTGCATTGCACTTTTATTTTGTGTTAATATTAAAATCATTCAGCTTTAAATTGTTTGCTTGTTAGCCACAGTTAGCAACCAACCAGTCTAGTGGTTGTTGTTGTTATACGTCATCTAGCGCGCGCCGGTAAACGTCCCATGCTGCGTTCATGCAGGCTCGGAAATGCTGAAGCCTACAGAACAAACATCGGTTATAAAAACCCGATACCGATAATTCCCGATATTACATTTTTTAGTGAATATCGGCTAACTTAGTTAAAGGTAATGTTTGTCCTGGTCATAACATGTTAAATGAAGAGGATGTGATTTGTGTTCTACTTGTCATTAGCTGCTGCACTGTTTGTTCCTGCTAGCTTACGGTAGTTCGTTATCTCCACTCACACTTCATTTTTCTTTCTGCTGTACCTTAAAGGGACATGAGTCTGTAATATATCGTTAGTGTGTGAAGTTCATGTGTGACTTACCTGTTATGGTTTACTATCATTTGTGTGTAAAGTGAATAGCGAGACCGATGCTAATGCGCTAGCCCATCAATGGGATTTTCCATATTATGTTAGCATTGAGCTAAATTATAACTTTGGTGTAAATTTATGCGTGTTGTATTTATGAATGTATAAGAAACAGACAGAACAGAGTCTGACATACTTTTTATTTTTTATATTACAGTTTCACAGATCTTCTTAAGTAAAACATCAAAAACCCAACTGAAGACTCTGCGCGCCGTCTTTTATTGAGAAACTGTTTAAAGGGAAACTTGGCAACTATTTCAACTTAATAAATCCTTCATGCTAACTAGCATTAGCTTCTAGTGGAAGTAAATGCAGAGAAATATTATATTTAGTCGGCTCTTACCAATTCACCTCCCATGTTAAACTGTTTAAAGGTAATCAATGTAAACATTCTGTTACAAATATAATACTGATAATAATAATAGATCATCAATAAGTGAAAATAATGAGCTGTAGCCATCGGCCAATAAGAAGAAGCTCCACTGAACTGAAAGACTATCAGCTGATTAATAATAAGTGCTCCATGTGAAGATGTAAGTCCATTTGTAGAGAATAAGCTCTGTGTATGAGAGCGATGTAATGTCCATGTTTCCATGCTGCTCTGACCCCCCTCCTCCTTTCAGGGTGGAGCCTGCTGGAGTCCGATGGTTGAGACCAGGTCTGAGGAAGTGTAAGTGTGAAAACAAAGCAGCACACATTCAACCATCTTCACACTGTGACATCACTCATTCACAGCTCTGATGTCATCATCAAAGTGTCAATCAATGATCAGATGATAGATCAATAACTGCAGCTGTATTGTGTCTTGTTCTCTCCATCAGATTCCTGTGAACTCACAGTCGACACAAACACAGTACACAGAAACATCAAACTGTCTGACAACAACAGGAAGATGATTCATGTGGAGGAGGATCAGTCATATCCTGATCATCCAGACAGATTTGACTACTGGTCTCAGCTGCTGTGTAGAAATGGTCTGACTGGTCGCTGTTACTGGGAGGTCGAGTGGAGAGGAGACGTTGATATATCAGTGAGTTACAGAGGAATCAGCAGGAGAGGAGACAGTGAAGACTGTTTGTTTGGATACAATGATCAGTCCTGGAGACTGAAGTGCTCTGATGGTCGTTACTCTGTCTGTCACAATAAGAGAAAAACACCCATCTCCTCCTCCTTCCCCCCCCCCCCCTCCTCCTCCTCCTCCTCCTCCTCCTCCTCTGGTAGAGTAGCAGTGTATGTGGACTGTCCTGCTGGCACTCTGTCCTTCTACACAGTCTCCTCTGACACACTGATCCACCTCCACACCTTCAATACCACATTCACTGAACCTCTTTATCCTGGGTTCGGATTGTTCGGGTTCAGGTTGTTGTCTTAGTTTGGTTCCTCAGTGTCTCTGTGTCCTCTGTAGGAGGGAGAGAGAAACTTTCTCACTGCTGACCAGATAGTTCAGTCTGTACAGGATCACACACAGCTGATGTTAGTTAGTACCAACCTGATGTGTTTACTGTAATAGAGGAGGAAGAGGAGGCTGAAGGAAGAGAAGAGCAAAGGATGCTGGGATGAGGGGATCATGTGTGAGGGTAATGTGCAGCCTGCAGACGTAGAGATGAAAGAAATGATAGAAAGAATTGATCTTCTTCTATAACTCTGAGAAAAATGAACATTTTTAGGATCAAATGTGGCTGCTTGTTTTTCAAATCTTCTTTTTGAAAGCACAGTTAGAGGGAAAGTGTTTTTATGACTCAAATATTAAAGTGTGAACAAATATTCAACTTTGAGTCTAAAACTGAACTTTGTTGCCTTAAAACTTTTGTTTCTGTGAAGAAAAAATGTGTTCAAATGTCAAACAAGGGTCTTTCAGGATCAAATTCAGCATCTGTGTAAAAATAGTTCCAAGGTGTAAAGAGTGGCTTTGATTTGAACAAACTAAATTCATCATCTTTGGTCATCATGGAACAAATGTACAAACTTTGATAAGTCAGGTTGAAATGAAAAGAAATCAAAGTTTTGGGATGATTCTAGATAATCAATGATGCTGGAAACCACATCTAAATGATGTCAAAGCAAAACTGTCCAAATGGATCCAACACTGTATAAAATGAAGGATTAGTTAAATCCAGCTTCATTCTCCACTTTGTATTGTTCACTTCTACTTCCATACATCACTGACTGTGTGCTCGTTTTGGGGAAACTCATATAAAACAAACACTAATCAGATTTTTACATTTGAACAGAGAGACATAAGAAGAGTAAACCAAACTACTGATCAAGAACCAATAACAACAATTAACTGATAACTAGTAAAGGTTTGTTTCACCAACTTCCGCCCCTCGCTATGATTGACAGGAGGTTTTGGGGTGCTTTTGGCGAGCAGGGAGAGGTGTACGTGACACAGAGAGAGAGAGAGAGGACCTCCGAGCCTCAATGTGGAACTTGAAGTAGACGCTCCGTGTAATAACGTTGAGCTTCATAAGAGTTGAGAAGCAGTAAGAAGTGATAACGATTACTGAGGATGAGCAGTTGCCAGCTGAAAGTGAAACGGGTTTCCTTCTCAGCTTCTCACTTTGTTTGCTGCTCGTGTGTTAGCTACTAAGTTAATTCCATGTACAGACAATTCTAGTATTTTCTGTGGTTCATGTTAAATGCTTAAAGGGAAACGTTTTGATGGTTAAAGTGTAAATTTCAGTAATATTCACCATGTTAAAATAAAAGAAACATAAATTTCCTCTAATGTGGAGTTTTTAAATCACTTACTGTGTTTCTACAGAAAACTCTGAGAAAGTAAGTTTAAGGCTTACTGTTTAATGTGTGAGATAAACTCTATGTGTTTTATTCCTTCCTCAAATATTAGCTGGGTGAAACAGTTTAACTCTGTTTTCATGTCTGTGACAATATTGTTTGTTAGAACAGATTTATTCAAATATCATTCAATTGGTTCAAACATTAAAACATTAATGAGAAACAGGACTTTCTGACATTAATGGGTGTCAATCTGGTTAAACTTTAATAAAATGAATAAATCAACGTCAATCCAGAACTCTTGTGAGTCCGTTTAAGGAATAGATGAAAGATAGATTTGATTTCTGTTTTACAGAAAGAACATAATGGAGAAATATGTATTTTTAATGTATTTAATATTTTATTACAGGGGTGGTATCTATGTAATATCTTCATATGAACTTCTTTCATTTTATGTGGAATGAGGAATTTATTAGACTCTGACCGAATGTGTTGTTCAGGGAAGTTTAGTTTCCATAAAAGAGTTGATTTGGGAGAATTACTGTGATCTGAGCTCAGAATGTTCTCAATAAACAACCTAACAGTGACAGTGGTGTTGACCTCAGTTAGGGGGCCATGTTAATCTTCTCTGTATCGCTCCAATCTTAGTATATGTGCTACCGGAGCAACACAGCAGCTCCCTGTCTCTGTGGGGGATTTATAGGGGGTCTGTCCGGAGAGAGTCCGGACTTATGGTGCCACTCAGACTCACTTTAGAGGTTTAAAGTGGCTCTAAGCAGCTCTAAACGGCTCTCAGACCGCTGATAACAACAGGAATAAGAGGTCTGGCTGTTGTACTGAGTCCTGTACCTACTTTCTTCCTATTTTCTGCCTTTATTTTCACTCCAACTGTCAGCTGCAGTTCCGTAAACTCACCAGCAGGTGTCAGCCTATGAGCAGTGTATGGGAGGAGCCAGATTTTTCCACCCGATTATTTTGGCACCTTCTTCTAAATGTTTCAAGGTAGAAAGTTCATTCAAACGTTCAAAGTTCATTCAGCTTTTTCATATTCTTTATATTATGTACACAATTGCAGTTCAAAATGTATGAAACTTTCATCCCCTTGCTCTCTTGAACATAAAAACATAGGAACAATGTGTATCAGAGTTAAAAATGCACTTTATTAATTCTTATGTAACCCTTTAGAGATGGGGAACAGAAATGGATTACTCTATTTAATGATTATTTATGGCCAGTGGGATCAGAAGTTCTATGTTCGACTACGGAGCCTAGGATTAACCAAACAATACACCAGGAATGACTCAGACACAGTTGTACTTTCTTTGAGAAACCAAAAACGCTTCCCTTTTTATACATGGACTGGAAGGATAAGCCAAAAACATAGAAATGCAAAAAAACTCTTTAAATGACACAAATCTTACCCGGGTAAGTAGAAAAATAAAAAATGTAAACAAAACTCACAGCTGTGATCTAAAGTTCAAAATCCCCCCCCATTTTCAGTCACTTCAAATCAGTTTTAGTTCTGTTCGGTCCACTGTGGAAGTGGAGAGAGTTTGTCCTACCGCACAGTTGGTGGTGTGTGTGTGTGTGTGTGTGTGTGTGTGTGTGTGTGTGTGTGTGTGTGTGTGTGTGTGTGTGTGTGTGTGTGTGTGTGTGTGTGTGTGTGTAATGAAGTGCCGAATTCAACGTCTCGATCCAGGCTCCAACATCCAGGTAGATCAAAGGTTCAAAGAGGTCCAACAAATAAAACCTGACCCACAGTGAGTAAGGTCAGAACAGTCTTTTAGCTTTTTTTAGCTTTCAATCATGAACTATAGAATATAATTCATGTTAAATCCTCATCTCATTAAACTGAACCATCATTGTAATATGACATCACAATATCAGTAACAAACATTCTCAAAATATTCTCAGATAATTATTGAAAAACTTCTTAAATATCAAAATATCTCTTTCACATAGCAATTAGAATACAAACTAACATAGACCACGTTCACACGGCAAGTCTTAATGCTCAATTCGGATTTTTTGCTCAGATCCAATTTTTTGTTTGGCTGTTCACATTACCTTTTAAAATTTGGCCTATATCAGATTCCAGTGTGAACTGTTTGTGGTTTCGAACTGACCCGCATGCGCAAAAGAACAATAACAATGACATCAGACGCAGCACGCTGTTGCACTAAAGTTAGGGAGGTTATGGAGGAAGTAAGCATTTTCACTTTTATTTTAAAATGTGCGTGTAATGGCAGCTGTAACATTAATGAGCAGGTGCTGAGGAGGAGAAGAATGAAGAGAAAGAGAGCCAAATTGGCTATTTTGGCCTTTTGCGTGGTTATGGCTGCAAATCCACTACAGAGGTCTGTGTGGATGCGGAGACGAAGCCAAGAGTGGTGGGAATGTGATGTGAATAGCTTCACAGAGACATCTCCACTGTCCCTACCATCATAAGTGCATGCTGCACTCTCCACAATGTGTGCAAGAAGCATGGTGAGGCCTATGAGGGACCTGGTCAATCTACTCTTTAGGACAACAGGATGTTCTGGGAAAAAAATGAAATGCAACCCTGTAAAATTCTCAGTTGTGCAGGTTTATGTAAACAACAAATCCATATAAAAATTCTCATCAAATTTTCCACACAAGGACTTTTCTCTGCCAAAAAATGAGAAAACCTGAGGCGGCAGTTGTCTTGGGTTGTACTGTGAGGGGCTGGACTGGTGCCTGGTAGAAAGGTGGTTTACATAACACCCTCAACACACACACGTTACCCTGAGAAGATGAGGGTCACCTGGTAGCCCCCCTCTTAACTTATATGTTAGGATATAATATGGGATTTGGTTCTTCAGATCCAGGTCACCAGTGCACTGGATCAGATCATAGATAGACTGTACATTTTTGAATGACAGACACGTACAGGGTAGTCTCTGCTTCTCTGATGGGTTTCCGAGTTGTGCAAAGAAAACTGGGAGCAGCTGACTGGCTCGTTTATTCTGTTAACAGAATTTTCCTCTAATAAACACGCCAACTTTCTAGTCTCCAAATGTAAAACTTCTTTGCAATATTTCTAACTTTTATTTTATATTAAAGTGCGTTTCCACTTAAGACTTTCTATATGCGTCGGCTGTGAATGTCAAGACTGAAAACTTACCTGTCTCGCCATCAATATCCAGGCTGTCTGCCGACCTCCTCGGAGTTTCAGGCTCCTCTTCGCCTGCTTCGTAGCTATCCAGCAGCTCCAACGGCTGACAGCTGGGTTTATCGCCCATA